TGGCCGGGCTCAGCCTTAGAGATAGGGTGAGGAGCTCGGACATTCGGGAGGGACTCGGAGTAGAACCGCTGCTCCTCCGAATCGAAAGGAGTCAGTTGAGGTGGTTTGGGCATCTGGTCAGGATGCCTTCTGGACGCCTCCCTGGGGAGGTGTTTCGGGCATGTCCTGCTGGCAGGAGGCCCCCGGGTCGACCCAGGACACGTTGGAGAGGTTACATCTCCAATCTGGTCCAGGAATGCCTTGGGGTCCTGTCGGAGGAGCTGGTGGAGATGGCCGGGGAGAAGACGGTCTGGAGCTCCCTATTTGGGATGCTGCCCCCGCGACCCGGATCCGGATAAGCGGATGAAGACGACGACGACAACGTCTATGAAACAATTATATGTGGTCAGATATTAATCAAGATCTTCATGTTTTTACAAGTTTTTAATCAACATTTTTTTAGATTTCTCAGTGTTGTGTTCTTTACTGCATTCGGGTTCCATATATAGGAAACTTTTTACTGATTGGCTTAATGACCTGACCTGTATTGGAATGTTTACTATGTGAAGTGCCTTGAGACGACTTGTCGTTATTTGGCGCTATATAATTAAACTTGAATTGAATTGAACTGAATTGACTTGAACTGAATTGAACTGAATGGAGCTTATCTACATTCCATAAACTTTTGGAACCTTGACTCCATTAAGCTATGAAGTTATGTGTCAAAGTTTATGTCCTCGCTTCAGTGTGGGTTTTGATAATTGGTAAATGTTTTAAAATGGGAAAAATGCGATGAATTCAGATCATGTTTTATGTAGAACTGCATTTGTTCCTTTATTTATAACCAATAGCAAAATGGGTGTAGCACTAATATTTATGTCCAAAAGAACATGACTGATGTGCTTAATTTATTTCAAAGCACAATTTTAACACACTTGAAACAACTTTAATATTAGCCCTTTAATGCATGAATTATGAAATCTTCAACCATGATTTTTTAAACAATGTTTTTCATTCATGTTTAGGTGTGAATGAAACAAATTTCATATTTACATATTTTTTGTAACATTTAATTTACACATAGTTTATTACATGTCCATCTCGATGGACAGCATGCATTCTGAACATGAAATATGTTGGCTTGAGTTACTGAAGTCCAAATGGAGGGGCTGAAATGCAATAAAGTCTTCAATAGCTGTGCTTAATAGCAAAAATAAATAAATAACAATTTTGAGTACCTGTCCACTGTAGTGACCATTATGCATCAAAGGGTTAGTAAACACCAGGCTTTTTATTCCTTGATAATTTAGCTACTTTTCATTAGCACAATGGACATTTTTAACAAAGTTTTTTTTTCATAAACAAGCATTTCTTTTCCAAAATAAATTTGAAAGTTGTGATTGACTTAAAACCTGTTTAATGATTATTTCTGATTAGATTCGGTCGCTCAGATTTTTTTCATGTAGGGTGAACTTGAAAGTAGTCAGAAATCCTCACAGATCTACAGATCTCCACTGTAGATTAACATTCACGAACTCACCGATCTTGACTCAGGACTGTTTTAATGTGTGGGAAACAGCAGAGAAAGTCTCTGCTAGCTTAAGCTAACCGTAAGCATTAGCAACACCACCATACAGCAGAAGCTCCTCCAGGCTTGTGCTATATGTGGAGATAAAACATCCATGTTTCAAGCTGCATTGCTGTTATCCACTCTGGGGTGAGATGTCCTAATATCAGGAAATAAGACTCCAAAACTTCCTGCCTGAAGCTCAGCTGTGATGTGGGGAACGTTTAGGTTAGACTAATGCTGCATAAGTATATTATTTCCCCCTGAGAACGACTTACAAGGCATTCGTTGAGACCACTGCAAATTTATTGATGGAACAAGTGAACCACTCCTTTACAGTGAACATATTTTAGACTTTTTTGCAGGTAAAAGATTTGTTTTTCTGCTGGCTTACTCACATTTTCATTATATTACCATTGGTTAACCCTCTGGAGGCAGGTGTTGCAGATTTGCAACGTTAAAACCTACCTACCTGGTTACTCCACATATGTATTTCATGAGCTTTTTTTACTCAGAAGTACCCCAGAAGGACTTAATTGTTCATCCTTTTATCAAACTTATTTTGAGCCTGAGAGGGTTAAACTTGCAGCAATAGTTCAAATCTTTTGAAGGTTGTTATGAACAATTAAATTCCTCTCTGTCATAGATTTTTCTTCCAACAGCCTTGGTTTAAAGAGACTGAATATGTTGAACTGATAAAAACATCATCTACACACTACTGGACATGATTATTCACATATTTCTGTGCTTATTTCCAACAGACGTTATCAATGGAGTTACTATGTCCACCGTCATTTAACACTGCCTGTAAGAATTTCATAATAATTTTGCTCAAATATTTGAGTAATACTAAATCAGCATCACTGTAAAAGTGTAAATTATTGTTTGCATAAACTACGATAACAATTTTGAGATTAGGGATTTTTTAAAGGTTTGGGATGTTTGTTCAAAACATGAGCAGTGGTCTCTAGTAGGGAGGAATGCCTTGTAAGTCGTACTCTGGAGAACAAAAGCTTTGGTTCACCATTTTCAGGAACTAGAAGTGCTCAGCTTCAAACAGCAGATTTTGGAGTCTTATTTCCTGATATTTGGACTTCTTGCCAAGGATTGGATAACAGCAACACAACTCTATCACTGACTCAGTTTGCAACATTTATGTTTTATCTCCACAAATAACACAAGCCTGAAGGATTTCTGCTGTCTGGTGGAAATGCTAATGCCAATGGTTAGCTTCTACTAGCCGAGACATGCTCTGCCGTTTCCCGGACGCTAAAACCCCTTCCCCGTAGAAGAATTTTAAGTGACAATGTGTGTCACGATCTGAGGTGAGTGGCACCCTTATATCTCTCCTGAGTTAATTACAGGTGGGTGGTTTCCAGGGAGCGGCCCAGCTGAAAGTGAGCATGTCATCAGACAGTCTGGCTTCTTAAGGAGCTGGGAGACAACCACTCAGTGCCAGATGATTACTCAACCTGGGTTCAGTTGCAATCTCCAGTTCTCAAGCTCACATCTCGCCAGACCATCCAGCTCTCCACCGCTCACCTGTCCCTTCAGATTCCTTCCTGTAGGGTGCTCTCTCAAGTCTCTCGTCTTGGACCTGCTCGCTTCTTGCCATTGCCACTCACCTTCAGACCGCACGCCCCCCCCCCCCCCCCCTCTCCATCCCCAAACCTCTCAACTAAACAGTCAAAAATTCTGAACATCTTTCTTAGGACTAATTGAATTTTGTGTTGCAGAGAACTTATCCAGTCTCACCTCACTTAGATGGGGCTCTTTCAGTTATCCTTTGTAAATATCATTTGAAGAACTCTTACCTGTGTTTAGAGACTGATTCCGAATGTCTTGGGTCAGACATGACAGTGTGATGTAGATCTGTCAGGCTATTGAAATCCTAGTGTTTCACCATCTATTATATCAAAAGCCAATGCAGGAAATAAGTGTAGAAGACTATTATTATGTTCAGCCTGCATGAAAAAGTCAGAGTGACTGATTAGAACCAGAAATAACAATTTAAAAATGGTTTTGGTCAGCAGATATTATTTTGTGTCTGGTGATGAAATATTAGCTCATCTATTTAACTAATCAAATCTATATTTCTTCTAATCGAGAGATAACAGGATAAAATAAAAGTTCTGATGCTAATACTTTTTATGTATACATGTACATATAAATGTATGATAAAATGTAAATATACCGTAAATCCTCTAATACAGACCCGGGCCTGTATTTGACTCAAGCTCATCAAGCTCCAGGCCTTTATTGGAAGGAGGACCAGAATTAGAGGCAGGCCTCTATTTCTATTTGAGCAAAATGAACTAATGGTTCGCTGGAGTTTTTGACAATTAAAATTGCGCCCACATTTTCAAAGTTAAACACATTTCTTTTAACAACAGTAGTTTCTGCTTCAGCCATCTCACCCTGCGCAGGGGCCGTAAACTCACTGATGCGCCTGCAGCCTCTCAGTGTTCCTGCTGCTCTAAACATTAAAATAATTATTTCATTTTCTGTTCCTCACTTCTGATTACCTTCAATGGTGTCTGTTTGTTGCAACCTCCAGGTACAAAAACTAACTTGTTTTTATTTGACTATTTTTCTGTCCTGCCTGTTTATTATCTTCCTGCATCTCCTCTCAATCCTAAAGAGAAACTGCTACCTGGGTTCATATATATTCACCTTATGAGTTACCTTTGAACTGCAGTTCTAAAAGATCTACCGACCGCAAAAACAGCGGAGTGCTCGCTGCTTGGCGGCCGCATCAGTGATCAGTGCATCACCGGAGGACAAGGTGATGCGCCCCACTCCACAGCAGTGAAACGCATCAGATGCAAATAAAAGACAGAAAACATTAAAGGAAATGAGCCGACATGAACAATCACGTGTTAAATTAGTTTTTGAGGTGGCGGCACCTAATTTGATAATGTTACTGTGGCCGTGCTCAGGACGCAGATGTCTGGAGCGCGTCAACAATCAGAGCTTTGCATGTGCAAGCTGGTTAAGGTTAGGATGGGGGTGAGGGGAAGGTTAAATTGCAAGAGGGAAAAGGTCACAATTTAGTTAAATGTCCGTTTTACGGCGGGTGTCAGTACCGACGCTCTGGCACAGCACGTTGCCCCCCCCTCCCCGACACGCAGGAGCTTGTCACCTGCTGACAGCAGGCTGCTGTCTTTTCCGAGGGCTGCATCTTGCCGGTCATTATAACGTGACGGCGACTAGTCAATGACAGGCATAAAAAGTCACTATAGTGAAGTCGACTAGTTCATACAACCCCTATTGCTCCCCAGAGTGTTCTGCAGCATAATCAGCATGTTCTCTTTGAACTTGATATCAAATTTTCACCTCCTCTTCGTCTCCGCACCTGCCAAATCGCGGTCTGTCATTGGCAAATCAAAAGTGAGACAGATGACACAACCGCTGCCCCCCCCCCCCCCACCCCCCCGCCCCCCCCCCCGTGGTACTTGCTTGTTACCACATTCCACCCGGCCACAATAAAATACCGGCCATTATTCACCTCCGCTGACTCCGACACCGGCCAAAATATGATGCCCGGCCGTTAATTGAATACAGGCCAATATTAGAGGATTTACGGTATGCATTCATTTTTTGAGGAATTTAAACAAGTTGGGAGCTTCAGAATTGCTTTTGAAATATTTATGACTGAATCATCCCTCAAAATCTCATTAAACGTCATTTAAAACTTACTGCAAAAAGCATTGTTAGGAAAAACAAGCCTCTTTATTAGAAAAAGAGGCAGATATTATGCTGATGTGTATGAGATGTTACTTTTCTTAAAGAATGTTGGTCTTTTGTTCCTCACACAAACCACGGTCAGCCTTCTCTCATCTGTCTTTACTTTATGCTCTGTGAACACATACATACAGAATGATGCGTGGAGAGAGAGGAAACCTGACGGTGGTTGCAATCCGCAGACAAAGAGAGCTGGGCAGCACTGAGGGACACTGAGCATAGAGAGAGCAGTGTGTGGCCCCGGGCTCTTGGCCCACGCTGATCGGGATGAGTGGAAGATAAAAACATGGTTACTGCCGTCTCTGGGGAAGGAGGAATAAATGCAGTATTAAACAAAATGTTGACAGTGATGTGGATGCTGACTGAGAGCTTCTGACTGAAAACATGAAAAACAGCAAGCCACATTGCTGTGTGTAGATTCTAAGGGCCAGAATACACTTGCTGTTTAACGGTGCGTACACGTTTTTAAAATGGCTACCTCATGCAACTTGCATTGATTTGAAGCGTTGTTTGGTTCTAATATCCCTCTGGGATTAATAAAGTATCTTTGATTTGATTGATTGATTGATTGATTGATTGATTGATTGATTGATTGATTGTGCGGAATTGACGCATGTGCATGCTGCAATATACGAGTAAACAGTAGGTGGAGTTGACAAAACGAACAAGACACACTCACGGTCACTCCGTCTCTGGTTTAGAGGTCTTTCATACTATCTACGATTCCGCTACCATCTATTTTTTCTGTCCTGATCTCAAAATTAACAAGTAGCTGATCGTTTATATTGACGCCATGTTTGGCACTCTGTTTGGTTTGAGTTCTCTAGTGTGCCCCTAGTAGAAACCTTCCAGTACTACATGCAGAGTAGTGCAGCTGCAGATATGTGAACAAAGATGCAGCTTGCTGCCTGCACCAATGCATGTTTAAAAATCAAGTATATTCCAATTCTTAAATTAAAGAAGATGAGTAACTGTGACTATCTGTGACTGGCAATCCTTCAGATCTATAAGGAACAAATGTACTCAGTCAATCAGAAAAGCTAAATCTGAATATTATAAGAGCCAGTTTCTGATGAGTAGTTTAGAGCTCAAAAGGTTTTTGCCAGACTTTCAAGATTATGGAAAATACCAACAAGTCTTCAATTTCGCCAAAAATAATCAATTCTGATAGCATTGCTGTCTCAGATAAAATTACAATGGTAATGTACTTTAATAATCACTTTTCCAAGTCCGGTCATGCCTTTGCTACAGCTTCACCTGTTTCTGGTGTTTCTGACCTCAACTCAACTACAGTGATTCTCTCTCCGCAACCAACTCCTGTTTTTCCATTCAGTTGTTTCAGGTAAATAAGGCACTTGATGAGTTACTCAGGTTGGATCCTCAGCCGGAATTCAAAAGTTAGCCAAGAAACAGCTAACACAATATCTGGAAACCAGCAGAATTCTTACCCCCATGTAGTCTAGCTTCAGAACTGGCCAAAGTGCTAAATGACATCATATGTACCATTGATAATAAGGAATATTGTGTAGTTGTGTTTGTTATCTTGGCTAAAGCCTTTGACTCTGTAGAGCATAACATCTGCAGGCTCAAACATATACTTTCTCAGGCATCTGCGGCATGGTTCAGAAGTTATGTCGTAGGCTGTGCAGTTAGAACAGAAGTTTACCAATCTGCTCCTCTTCATCTATCTATGGGCGTGTCATGTTCCTGAGCCGAGGTGAGTGACAACATCTCCCATCTCACCACTATCAGGCTGATTTTCCACAGGTGAGGAGCGGAGGGGTTTGCAGCTGCAGAAGATTCCCAATCAGGAACTCGGGTATAAAAGGAGGATGGAGGCACTTCACTACACCGGATGATTGCACCAGTATAGGTAGCCCCAGTCACTCGCTCTCGCTCTCGCTCTCGTTCTTGAAACTTGTATTTTGACATTCGCTTTCTGGATATTATTGGAGTTTGAACTCGGACTGAATTTGGACTGCTTTTGGATTATCCTGACTTTCGGTGTTGTTTCCCCTCTCCCAGGATCTCATTACCTACCGCAACTTTGCGGTTTAAAAACCTGGACTGTTCACACCACGTCTCATCCTCCTCCGCTGTTACCTGTTTGGACCCTCTCCACTGCCTCACCTATCCCGGATCACCCCTGGACTCATCAGAGCTCACCTCGGCTCTCTCGCCTTTCCCCCCCCCCTCATTCTCCCTGAACTCTGAATGAACTTGAGCGATTGATCTACCCCACAGGACTTCCCTGTGCTCTTTTTGTTCTCCTTATAATAAAGACTTTTACTTTGATTCAACCAGTTCCACGAGTCAGTTTCTGCATGTCTTGGGTTAAACACATACCTCGAGTCATGACAGGGCGTTCCTCAAGGGTCGAAAAATAAGAGTGGAGATTCAAAGTAAATAAGTTCATCTGTTTTATTGCTTGAGTGAATTTTACTCCATTTTGTAGGGTAAACTCAGACTTAGTTGGTTAATGTGCATTTAATGCTATAACATGATCTAATACCGTGGTTTGGATAACTGTGTTCACCAGAGTTTACTGAAGGTTCTTTGTGCTTTTGAAATTACAAACCTCTGAACAAAGGCAGATTTCTAACATCCGTAGAGTATTAGATGGGGAATGTCCTCTAATCATCGGTGAGATGAAGTTTAGCTCAGGCTGCTTTGCTTTTCCCCAGAATTAATGAGGGCTTGAACGTATCCCTGGAGCTGAAATAAGTCCTTGACTAAAAACTTTTTAACAGTTTTGATCAAAATGCCAACTTTCCAGTTTTTACAACATTTCAAAGTAAAATACCGCTGCTCCTCTACTTATTTACTATTACCTACAATAACTTTTTCAGTTTGAACTCAAATCTGCTGTTTCAGTTGTTTTTGTTGTCAGAGTTGAGACACATACTAGTGCTAAATATTGTGAAACATCTTTACTTAAAACTCTGTTTTGAATTGTTTGAGTCAACCTCTGTTGGCAAAACAAGGAAACGAGGAGGCGTCAGAGGACTGGAACTGCTCCCAGCGACGGGGGACACTGAGCCAGGGACAAGTACTCAAACCGGGACTTGTCCTGCAGCTCTGCCCACCTGAATCATCCTACTATGCCCTGACCGTTGGGCAGGGTCACGGGGGAAGATTTCTGGCGGCGTGGGCGTCTCCGGCAGCGAGGTGGTGACATCAGGAGTTTGGACTGGGACAACAGAGCAGGGGCCTCTTGGACAGGCAGCGCAGCTCTGGTCTCGGGGGAGAGGAGGAGCTCGGGCTGAGCTGGCGGATGGAAGTAGATGATATTCAAGATGGCTGTACCATTAGTAGGGTTTCCTGTTGAATAGATCATTACATTATTAGGGTTCCAAGCCCAAAGGGCATTGGAACCCTATTGTTTGTCTACGGATTTTTCATTATTCTTCTTCTCCGCTAATACTGTATCGGGGCAAGAGCCTGAAATTGCCAGGAAAAATCTGATATGGCAATCTGATAGAAAATCCTGACCGCTACTCAGATTCGAAAATTTGGACCCCGAGTCACCTAGGTGGCGCTATTGCGGAGGTGAATACGTTTCAGCTACTAGCTCCCAAACCATAGGTCCTACAGTAAAAAAAACTTTATATGGACATGATCCTTGGATGATTCTGCATCTTTTTTGTATTGGCCACGCCCATTTCCGCCTAACTAGATTTTTTTGCCAGATCGCAAAAAACGTGAAACATAGTTTTAATCACCTATTCGTCATTTTTCATCGAATCAAGTTCAAACTTTGTACATATGATCTATGGATTAAGCTAAGTTGTTGTGACGAAGCGGAATTATTGAAAATTGGGCTAATGACGCCATGTCAAATTCAGTGCGCTAGCTAGCACATGTGATAATTGATGATATCTTCACCAATTTTCAAGATAAAAAGATGAGATTCTAGACCCTTACAAAGTATGAGCGGTAAGCCCTATCTACCAAATTTTGTTTGGATTCACCTATAGGGGGCGCTAAAGAGTCAAAAAGTTTGTTTCAGCAAAACGGCTTGATGGGTTTCCACAAAACTTGGCAGATATGTTTGTTATCGGACCCTTAAGCTATATTTTGAAAATGATTAAAAAGTGGGCGTGGCTTATAGGCTTTAAAATGTTTCGCCCTTTAACTCATGAAAAATATATATTCTGTACAGAAAGTTACAATTCATATCAGTCATAGTGGCATCTACAATCACAGAAAAAATTTTACAATTTTGTCCAATAGGTGGCGCTGTTGCAGCCAAAAAAGTTTTTGGCATGTTTCTCCCCATTCCTTTCGTAAAAAAAAACAAATGATCTCATCCTGTATGTTCATTGAGTCAGTCAAATTTAGATGAGTATTTTAAAAAATGTTTTAAACTTATGCAAATTAGTAGAAATTTGCATAGTAAGTCCAACGTACTTTCGTTAACTCCTCCCGGCCGTCAAGCACAATCACATCACAACTTTGCCTGACAAGAGAGGAGGAGCGGCTGACCAAACGTTGTGAAGGGATTTGTATAATTTGCTTATTTGTTTTTATATGATTTTTTAAAATAATTTTTTTTTTGGAATGAAAACTTTTTTTAGCATAACTTCAAAAGATTTTGACATTTTTCAAAGCTATTCATAACCACCATACCTAAGGTAAATTCAAGTGTATGTCTTATTTTCAACTTGATTCAACAATAGGGGGCGCTATAAATGGGAAGAAATTATACTGCTGAACTGGCTAAATGGATCGACACGAAACTTTGTGGTTGTCATCATTATAGAGTCTCAAGACGATATTATCAATATGGTAATGATTGATCAAAGTGGGCGTGGTTTATGATCATTTAAAATTTAAAATTTGAAAAACTTCCTACAAATCAATATTTGCATGTAAGAGGCTACAATTTGCAGGTTGTGTTAACTGGGTAGCCTTGAGCTTAGATCACGAAAATTGCAGCTCCACGAAGAGGTTTGCGCATTATATTTACGAAAATACATTTTTAGGCTAGCAGTTGTAGCACAAATTCGGTTAGGACAATCTTCTTGAAATTTGCCAAAATGTTCAATCTTAGGTGGTTTACGAAACACATGAAATGTCATCTTGATTTGAGCACCCCCTTGTGTTTAATTATAGGACTTATTTTTGTTTACAGCCACTATCGCAAATATTATTTTATTGTAAGAACAGCTAATCATTTATGATCCTTATAAAAATATAAGCAGAATATGCACATCACAGAGGCAATCTGGGAATATTTTGAGATTTTTGTACAAAAGCATTGATTTTTAATGAATTTTTTACTTTTTGCCAGTTTTTCTGTATAGTTGGACAAAAAGTAAATAATTTTTGTTAGAAAGTTTTTTTTTTAGGTATAAAGTAAATATAAAACATTTATAACATTCCACATGTACCTAAGGTGATCTGAGATTTTTCTATTAATTTTAAAAAGTAGCACTATTTTTTTATGAATATTTTAATTTTGGCTGTGACCCTTATAGTTATATTTACCAATTTTTCTTCAAAAAAGCTTTGAATCTACTGATTTAAAAACAACAGCATATTATTCCAATTGTTAACATTGCCGTGTGAGAATATTTTGGTAATTTTATGATGATTTATGGATTTTTCAGGATTTTTTGAAATCATTTGATCAGTGAATCACAAAATGAAACTCAGTTTTTGTTGAAAATCTATTCAATCTATGGACATTATCAAGTATTGATGTTATTCCTAATATACTCTTGATGTATAGATTATTGTTTGGTAATCTTTAGATCAAATATGGATTTTATAATGAAGTTTTTGTTTTGGAGTCTTTCATCCATGCAACCACTCAGCCACACGCTGGTGGGAATGGGCTACAATGTAGCCACACCTTCCCTGAGGTGCACTGAGAGGCAAGGCAGCATTTTCTGGTCAGAGTTGGGATCGATCCTTCAACCTATCGATTGTCGCACATGCCGCTCCACTTCCTGAGCTAATTCTGTCCCATGCAGAACATGATTTTGCTCATTAAATCTTCACGTTCTTCGATAAGGAAACAGTGGAATTTGATTGTAATCACGATTGAGAAGTCAGCCATGCCTGTGAAAGATACGTGTATAGGCTAAGCAAAAGGTTTCATGACGTATCCTGAGTGTTACTTTCATTGCGCCGGTTGAAGTGAGCTAACGGGACGCCGGCGGGAGAACGTGCTTTTGGAGCGGGACCGCGTGAGGACTGGCGAAGGTGAGGGCGGGGTCGGGTGGGCGACTGGCGCTAGTGGCTTGGAACCCGTTGATAACTGCTTGCAGTTTTAGTTTCTTATTATTTCTGGTCATCCAAGAAAACATTAGAAATACACGAGGCATTCTTATTTTTAAATAGAGCCTCCCAACTGATTTAAATATTTTATCAAGACAAATCCATGTTATGGTAAACCTTTATAATACAATTATGATTCCCTATCCTAAGAGGTGGAATCTATAAAACCATAAAACACATCAGGATGTACAATAGTTTAAAAAATCAAGAAGTAAAAAACTATTTGATGATTCGATTATATGACCCAAACAAAGACATAGCTTAATTTTCTGAAATCTGTTAATTCTTCTAGGTGATGTGCAGTCTTTCAAGGAATGCTACACCTTGATATGAAACTAATATTACATGTTTTTCACAAAATGAATCAGCAAAGCTACAGTTACATGAATAGAAATGATAAAAATTGAGTCAGTTTTAGCCATTAACTGTAATGGAACCAAGCCCCTGCATGGATAGTGTGTTTTCTCATCATTAGTGCATCACATGCTTGTGTAACATTTGTCATTCCACATGTTTTGTGCCCATGTGTTTGAGAAGAGCATACACTCCCAACACTTACAGAAAGTGTTGTGTAAGCACATGTTGATGCTTGGCTGTGTGTGTTGCCGTGAATAAACACTGTTCCATGTATGGGTATTGCACTGTAGGTATCCCACCAGGGACATATGCTTTGTGAGATGTTAGTGCATGGTGAGTTAACCGTCTGAGGACTAAAATAGCTCATAGCACAGATGAATGACTCCTCTGGCCTGGAAAGAGGTCAGCGTGTTTGCACTTTTCCTATTGAGATCATCATGTCTCTAGAAGGCTTTGCTATGGACTTTTAGTGCCAGCTTGTGTTTCGATGCATGTTCAGCACACTGCCTTGCATCTGTGTTTGCAGGTTTAGGTCTGTAAAGTCCAATTTGTAACACGGACAAAACGTTTGACCTTGCTGTCCACCTGAATCCTCCCTCCTTCTCAGCCTTTTTTTAACGAGATAGTTTCTCTCATTAGGGGAACTCTGAAAGAAAGGGCAATAGTGGAACTATTTTTTTTAACCCTCCAAGCTCAGGGAAGAGCTGTGAATCACCAGCAGGGCATTTTACCATGAAGGTGAGTTAAAAAGGAATGGGTGATTATAGCTGCTCTATTTAGGGAACGAAGAGAGAGAGAGCAAGAAAGGGTGGAAGGAAAAAGAAAGGGATGGATCAGTTGTAGGGTGAGCAGGAATTCTCTTTGTTCCGACTTCAAAGACCACTATAGTCACCCTGAGCCTTTCATTCATGCTTCATTTGAGATATAAACATAAAAGCAGTGAGTAAAGGTCCCTGTATAGTGAGGATGTGAGGGGAAGTAACACGACTTTTAAGGTGATAATGAAATTCAACAACAGGGGATGTGGGTGACTACAGCACAACTGCAGTGTTGCACAGGTTTTGCTTTCTAAACAGTCTGGTGGGTGCCACCTGCAGTAAATGTCACTTTCTCTGTTAATGTTCGTGAGTTTGTATTTGGCCACAGGTAGTTGTGGAATGCAGCAGAGCTGGAAGCAGTAAACCTCCAGGGAACAGAGCCATCTCCACAGGGGTTTTAATGCTGCCATTCTCCTCACAAGAAAAGCTCCCCACAGGTGGAATCCCTGACGTTCACCTGTTAACTTTCTCTCTGCGGGACCCCGGAGCGTTCTGTTGACTTCTTGATGCACCACTTTAGTTGTAGCTTTTGTAGCGGAATATAGTTAGTATATTCTTACACTTTTATTAAGGTCCAGAGATTAATCTTTGGACCGGGCACTTAGAATCAGAAGAGGTTGTTTTTACCACAGGGAATTTTATTCAAACACTTGTATTGACTTAGAGACAAGAAAAGAGAGAGATGGGACGTTTAAGAATATTTATTTTATAATTATTCGAAACAATCACCAGGACTAACTCTCTATGATGGATGCATATGGATTTGGATGCTGAAGTGTTGGTGTGTGTGTGTCAGTTCAGAATCTCCATCTGATGCAGGCGAGTCTGGGTGTAAGATGTTGTTTTGACTAACTAACCACGAGGGACTTCAGGAGGAAGAGACATGAAACGCCATCTATGCCGAACTACGTACCTTCGGAGACTCCCGTGTATGATCCGGAATGCCAGGTCCTCGGACCCTCCTTTGGTGCTGGAACTGATAGCACAGCGTCTGCAGCATGACAAACCAGTCTACGGATCGACTCCCGGTAGCAATGGCAGGTGTCAGCGTCACGTAAAGAGTTCAGCTTTTATTCTGAAGGAACCATCGTCTTGTTGATAAAACGACAGAATTTTCCAGCTTGACAGTTCTCAGCTTAAAAGTAGAAAATACAGCTGGCCAGTCTGTACTTCACTTAGCGATGATGGATTTGAGAGCTGGTCGAGTACTTGGTTGGAACTGCGTTGAACCAAGTTGAACTACGTTGAAGAGCTTCGTTCGAACTGACTTAAAATGGCGTTGTTCTGTTTTATTAACTTAGTTGTTTATAATTCTTAGCAAATCAGAGTGGACAGATTAACTAAACACCACAGAGCTCTGCTCCACAACAGAAAAGAAGTTCTGATTGGATGAGGGATGAATGTGTCATGTTTTTATCTTATGTGGATAAGAATGTCTAGCTCAGTTAGTCCTGTTATTCATTAAACACATAAATCATAACATTGTGATTTCACAGATCGGTCACCTGATTATTATTGACCAACAGTTGTTTTGATTAGCTTTATTAGAAATAAAGTTCTTTGATTAACTAATGAAAAGCATTCTTCGTCCTTCTTCTGTCTTCTTTTTGGAATGTAAACACCAGGAACAGGCGCACAACCTTGGCAATTTGTGCACACTGTCACTGTGTCAAAGGGCAGCTGTTAAGGGAAGAAATGGCATATTCATAACGCTACACTTTTTTCCTGTCTTTCTCTTAAGTTTGTTGCTGTCACTGAACCAATTTGATGGATTTCATATTTTCAGAAACATATATTATTTTGGATTTTTTCTGTAGAAAATGCCCCTGCTTGACTTTTCTAACTCTCCTTTCTACAAGAAACACAACCTTTGATATTGGAAATCTCTCAAAATTGCATGCGACGCATGAAGAGAATGCATTCTTATCTCTCAGATGCCAAAGAGGGTTCACTAATTGCATTGAACAGCCAATATCCAGACATTTTAAACCAAGTTTACTGCTTTTGCATCGGACAGATACATACAGTATTGATTATGTGCAACATGCTACACTATATAGGTTCTTAATAATGTTATGCAATCCACATCAAATAAATACCTATGAAACTTTCAGGCTAATTCTACATGACTATAAAACCTGAAGTAAAGTCAAGAGAAATTGGGGTTTTAGGACACCATTGGGCCCTCTGAGACCCACTGGAATGGCTCGATCACAGGACATTTTGAAGACCTCCTTCAGTGTGGAGGAAGTCACAATGCTAACATTCTCTTAGTATTCACCAAAGATGGTTTTCCTGGGTATTTTTTTTCATCCCAAATATGTTTTGGAATTTGCTATGAATGTGTTCTATACATCAGCAGCTTGTCATTCCTTCTTACCACAAGCCCAGACCATGTTAAACTCATAGACTGTGTCAGAATGCAGTTACCCACTGGAAGGTCACCCCACACCAACATGAAGATGGGATGGAGCCCAACACAACCAATGTAGCCAATAATTCCACAAATTCACAACAACTAAGCTTTGTCCTGCTAGCTAAAAATCCATGCAGAGCCTTTCATATTCCGCCGCGTTGGGTTTCCACTGCATTCGTAATACAGACCATTTGGTAACAAAGTAGTTTAATAAAACAAGAATTACTTCCCGAGTAATTCAGTTTCTGGTGGAGTTCAGAACCGGCCAATTCGGGACAAGCATCCTTGAGACATCTCTTTTGACATACAGTGAAAAACCTGTTCGCACGCTGCAAGCTGACACAGCCAGATGGCACCCTAAGAGTCACATCCACTTTGGACGCAAACAAGCATTCCAGCTACTGTTGTGACCTGGAGACATCTCAAGACAGGACGGGTCGTATCGGAGTTAGTCTACGGGCTCTAGGTGCCGTGAGGTCCACCCGATTTCTGACAGTCCGGATCTGCTGGGGGTCTCCGCCAGGGTTTGTAGACACAACAGATTGCGTCTGATGCTGTTTTTATTAATAATCAACTCTTTAGTTTATAGTAGACAACACATTCTTTTACACTCAGATTTCACAATTTCTTTCAGATACAAAGGTTCTGATAAACATCTAGCTTACATCACATCACCTCACACATCACATTCCATCACCGCATGTCCACTCCATCACATCTCATTATTTATATCTTGTCATGTATAATCATTAGTTTAGAAAGGAATAAAATTCCTTTTTAACTATATACCTGACTCTGTCTGAATGAATGCGAAGTGTGTTTATGGTCCCTGAACAAGTAAAAGTAAATATCATCTTCTGATTAAACTTCAAAGATCAATCAGGTTGATATTTCATATTTATATGGAATTATCACACCTTATTTGTCATAATTAATTTGCAGTCGTCATGCTATAAAGTATGATCACTACATCACATAAAGACCTTCATGACTTTTGTCTGTTTGTTTTATTTCCCTCCATTAAAATCTGCTGTTCTTTTGATTCTGCAACTATCTTCAGTCTTGATTGTTACAGACCCACAGCGACATTTGGTGCATAATGTAATGAAGCACTTGTTCCTAATTTTGTGCATTTCAGAGTTGTGTTTTTCCATTTCTGTGAAGCAAAACAAAACTATAACTATAAAAACAGAGACAGAAAAGGCCTCAGGCTAAGATGTGAAGCTCAGCTATTCTCTCGCTGAGATAGAAAAACCTCGGGTGAAAATGCACCACTTTTTTATCTTTGTCACTTGAGGTGCTGAGAAGTCTGCTGTAAATGTTATGAAGAAAAGAGGATCACATATAGAGGAAATAAATGTATAAAACATGGGTTCCAGCAGGACTGTGAAAAGTAGACTATATATTTTAGTAATAAAACCTTGTCATTTACAGTTTTTCCCAGCATCTCTGCTATTCTTATGAGCTTTGCTCCATTTGTAACAGGTTTTCCTGGCTTCAGCTGCAAAGCTTGAAGCTTTCTACCAGGGTGAACACATTCAGATATTTTAGTCTGACTTTTGTCATACTAATATAGTTTGATATAATTTTACAGCCTTTATTTCAGAGACACAAATTTGACTCATGTTATCTTCATTTCTTTCGTCTTTGTTTGGGACCACTCTGCTCGTCTCATGCACAGAGGTGCAAGCACGAGCAGAAAAACTCATTTGACTGTAAAAGAAGCAAAACACATTAGAGACTCAAAGCTTATCTGAAATAAAACTAGTTCAAATGAATTGGCTAAATCCCATAAAAGAAAAAAAGTTCCTTTTTGAAACGTAAAACCTGCTGACGATTATTTAATTTTATGGAGTTTTAAACTCCGGAACAGAAATAATGTCTCATGGCAATATTGAAAAGCAATTTAAAACACCTGATTTAAAAAAAAATACAACTTTTTAAAATGATTTATAAATTAAAAACTATATCATATTCACTCAAATATCTGTGTTTTATTGGCATTAGGTGGAAATATCTCTTTTTCTAAAAGTTTATGGAACAAGATCTTTTTTACAGCGAAATGAGACGTGTCTGCACGGTGTCTCCAACAACATAATCATTATACACAGTGTGATACACAAGTGTATACTCGTGGTTGTTTACGTTAAATATAGTCATTACAGGTGATTTTAAACCTCATTAGGACATGCTCACTCTCATTCACTCTCTCCTTCACACAAATTGCATTTTCTTGCACTGTTCATCTAGCTCGTCTTGAATATGTCTCACTTGCACTTTGTACTTTGGAGGCAAATTCTGCATTAGACTTGTTTGTATTTTTATGCTGCAGTTGAACCATTCAGAATCTCTCTTGGTGTTATTGTGCTCTGCCTTTCTCAATTTCCTGTTTTGTCTGTTTGTGTTGTCTTTGCGCATGTATATATACACACTCAAACACACACGCATCTTCTATCAGCCCTTTGAGCTCCACATGAAACACCACACTGGTGCAGCCAGCTGGTGCCCGCTGCTTTGGAGTCCAAGCAGCGGGCTGACAGTCAGTAAAGCTTTACAAGGCTATTCTCAGCAGCTGCTGTTGTTATTGCTGATGACCCACTAGACCTGTGCTGTGGTATACTGATGTAGTTCAATATGCAGCGTGGGCTGTGTAGACGTCACAACACTTGTTTAAACACTCACTTGTTCTGGCTCACTGGAACTTACCCTGTTTGCTGATTTTTGCTCTCTGGCTCTGTGGGTTTTTTATTGTATTTAGTTTTATTTTTTTTTTGCTTGTATGGAACTGTTTACTGTTCTGCTGCACTCAATTTTTGCGCTAGATTAATTTAATTTCAGCATTTCATACAAGTTTATGGGTATTGACTCTCAAATCTCTGAAGTCCCTTTTTTCATCTCTTTTTGCATAGATTGTTTCTATTTCTACTCTAAACTGGAAAAAACTATTTTCTAAAATAAATAAATAAAAATCTCCATGACCTGAAGCCATTAGTTGCCTAAAACCACGCTGCAGGGGAGATACAAGTTGAAGGCAAAGTGGAGTCAATTAGCCAGGAGCAACTAGAGCCCCAAAGGCATCACTTTTTGCCCCAAGTAATTGCATTTGTCAGTTTGACAGGTAGATGAGAGCAGAATGGTATATCTGACTAGTCCCACTCATATTCCTTTCAGAGGAGTCTGTGCTGCAGACCTGAAGCTCCAGGTATTGTCTGCTGGTGTGGTTGCAATAGTTGAATCTTACACTTTCTTGCTGACTTTTAGGTTAATTTAAAAACAAACTTGACTCGCTGAGTTGATTACACCGAAGCCAATTAGAAGTGTTTTGGAGCAGACCCTGAACTCTGTGTAATGCGGAACAGCTTTTGGCTGTAAGGAACTTGAGGGGGCTGTAGTTTATTGTGAATGTAATTGTGTGGAACTAAACAATGGAGCGTCATCCACACTGGCAGTCAGCGGTTAGACCTGTGCAGCCCTCAGGTGTGTGTGTGTGTGTGTGTGTGCGTGCATGCGTGTGTTTGTTTATAGCTGGTTTTGTTTGCATGTACCATGGATAAAACCTGGCTATAAAACAGAACCTCAAACTAACACGGTGATAAGGATTTATCCAGGCTAGCTGAGCAGTCTGTTGGCTCAGTGACAAAAGTATCAGCGGCAGGGTTTTGGATGACACATTTTGAATTGAAGCGAGCTTAAAATTTAGTTTATCATTTAAAATTTATATAAGTTATATATGGAGATCTACCTGAACTTGTCTTTACAAGGTGTTAGTGAGGTCTAAGGGGGTATGCTGATAGTGTAATGAGCTGCTCGCTGTGAGTGAGACAGCCTGATGGTTTGGAACATTTGCAAAACGTTCATATTGAGACTGTTTTGGCTAATGATCTTGTTGGCTGGGTTTTGTGTTCATCAGTGGAGCATGAGGGAACACGTTGGCAGCTGTAGAAGTGACGTAGAGACCGAGCTTGTTCATCAAAATGTGAAGCTGGACTGTTCATTCCGACTTCCTGTGAAAGCTACAACTTCGTCATGATTGAGTTGTTCAAGAGTTAGCATAGAATAGAATAGAATAAACCTTTATTATCCCACGAATGAGAAATCGAAGTTACTCACCCCTACAGCAAAAGGATGGATGAAGACACAAAAATAGCTCTATATACATAAC